TCGGGGGTGGTGGGGGGCGGGAGGGAGGAGTGGTCACCCTAGTCTTCCAGGCGCTTTAAATCCAGAGGCGCCGTTGATCGTCGAGAACTCAGCCTAGATCTCGGGAACCAAGCAGTGCCCACCCGCGACGGGCTGGGCTCTAGACATGGTTAGCTTTGAGCAACATCCAGAAAACGTCCGCCCGGGCCGAAACACGTCTCGCCACCAAACCCGGGTCTGGCCTGCCCGGGGAGAAGCGAAAGCTGACCAGTACGCGGTCGGGGAATCGCGGAGCCGACAGCATTGTCTCGCACGCTCACTCACCAGCTTTGTGGCCCGGTATGGCCCGGGCCCCACGATGCGGTGCTCCATTGTCCGCACGCAGCGGCGGCTGCGGCCGAACCGGCGCAGATAGCGACCCTACGGAACCGCAGTTTGAATCGCGAACCTGCGCGCAGCTGGCGCTGATTGGGCGGTGCTGTGGCACGTGACGGGAACTGCGGGGCGGGGCCACCGGGACCCGTGGAGGAGTAGGGCGGAGATCCCAGCTGCGTCTCTCCTGAGACAGGGAGTTGAGGGCGTACACGCTCCCTGGGCAAAGTCAGCTGCCCACCCTCGTCCCACCTTGCGCGCACTCCACAGGCAGGTGCGGACTGACCGTGCGGGGGTGTTTCCGCCACACCCTAGGGCGAAGCGGGCTGGCGTACATCCTCAGACTTACCCACGGCTAGTCCGTTCCGCGCACACACGTTTTCTCTGCAAAAGCGTCAATGAAAGTCTGTAATTCAATGACTGAAAAAGCTGGACTGGAAAGAGCACTGTGAACCTGGAGGTGCTGCCAAGATTGGGAGACGTGGGTAGTGAAATGAAGTGAGTCCTTACAAGTGGAGGGACATTTAAAAATTAGATAACAGCATTTGGCCACAGGTAGTGGCCTTAGGGTGTAAAAACAACAAAGAGCTGGAAAAGGGCCCTAATTAAGCTTTCTATTTATTTTTTTTAACATTTTCCCCACAGTTGGCATTAAATATTGTTTTATATTAGTTTCAGTTGTACGGCATAGTGATTAGACATTTATCTAATTTACAAAGTGGTCCTCCTGCCATTAGTCTAGTACTCACGTGGCACTATACATAGTTATTATAATATTATTGATTATATTCCCTATGTTGTACTTTGAGCCCCTGAGACTATTTCGTAACTACTAATTTGTAGTTCTTAATCTCTTCACCTTTTCGTCCAGCCCCCCAAACCCCCTTCCATTTGGTAACCATCATTTTGTATTTGTTCTTTGGGTAAAGTAGGCTTGCCCTTCAATTTCAGTTCTATGTTTTGTATCAGACTGAAATTTTCAGTCCTTTGCCATAGGGCTGTGAGTTCTTTTTTGCTGCTCAGGATTTTCCCCCAGGAATTGGTGGTCTGATGTGCAACTTTTCAAAGGGACAAATGAAGTCACTCTATACCTCACTCTATACTCTATACCTCAGCTGGAGTTCACAGTTCAAATCTGACTACCTCAGTGAGCACTCAAGACAAAAGAAAGCAGAATAAAGGATCAGATTCCCACTTGAGTCCATTTTCATAACCCCTTTCCTCCATTTGTTGGTTTAGGTGTGTATTTAGCTGCATTTTAGAAAGCCCCCCAAATTCCTAGGATGATACATACATATTTTGTAATCAGAAAAAGCAATAAAGATCATTTTACTTCCAATGGATGAATCCTTAGCAAAATTTATTCTTCTTGGTGGGGAAGGAAAACTGAATTCCAAGGAAGAGATATGCTGGACCTTGGCAAGGGTTACCAATGGGGCACAAGAAACAGAAGGAGTAAAGGAATTTCAAAGCCTTGTCCATCTGAGACCTGCCACAGTGGTGGAACTGGGATTTGATACAAGACCTCATGCCACTTCCCGAGCATTTTCCCAAGAGTCCATCATGAGCAGTGGACTGTCTTTGAGAATGTAGTTTAAAATGGGCTACTGATTATCAGTCTTTCAGCATCACATAAAAATAATTGGGAAATTTCTCCCTGTCTCTGTGCTCTAGGAGCCAGTGCTTCCTACCTTTCTGACCTAACTCCAACTATCTGTTCCTTAAATATACTGTTTGTTTCCACCTCACAGCCTTTGGAGTTTCCTCTGTCAGAAATGTTCTTGTCCCAGCTCTTTACAAGGCCGTCTCCATCTCACCATTCAGATCTCACTTTAAATGCTGTAAACCCAGAAAAGTCTTCCTTGACACTTGCACTATTTTATTTCCTTCATAACATTTATCTATGTGCTACAGTTGAATAAGTACACAAAAAATGCTAGTTTATTTTTTGTTGATTGATTGGTGACTATTGTAACAGTATTTATTTCTGATTTATCTACTAGGAACTTAGAGCCAAATTTGTGGCCGATTCCTAACAACTATAGAGAATATAATGGCAAGTTGTTTTATTTTTCTATCTTTTTTCTCTACTTATTCTATGGTATTATATAAATATATAACTAGCTGCCTCAGTTTCTTTTTGGAAAAGTGTACTCACTTCTTATTAGAAATAAGTTACAATCGTTACATTTGTAAAGCAGCTTTCAAAACTTTTTCACATTTCATTTGATCTTCAGACTGTTTAGATATATAAATATGAATAACCCCTTTTTACTGTTGAGGAAATGCAGCTTCAGAAAGGTTGTGACTTACTTAACCAGAGAGGTTAAATGTCCCATAGCCAGTATTTAAGAAAACTTGAACTTGAACCTAGATCTTCTGTGAAAGCCCAGGGAGTTTGATTTGGTTTGGTTGCTTGACTGGTTGGTTTTTACTAAGACCTTCAAGAATCAAAAAGGATAATTTTCAAATATAAGGTCAAATTTTGCCTTTATATTTATGCAAAGATACATTTCAGGAGAGGGGGAAGGAAAATATAGAAACCTTTTATAAGTCTATCCGAATGACCTTTCTCAAGAATGAGTTTCATAAAAATCACAAATTTGGTTTTTCAAGCCTCTGATTATGGTTTGGCTTGTTATTATATTAACTGGGATTGACTGCATATGAAGTATAAATTTAATCACACTACTCTTCCCCCCAAGAAAGTTGAACTTCCAGTTACGTCTCAATTAAATTATTAAAATTTATTTCCATATTCTAAGTGTAGCAATTTTAATAAATCCCTGTTCATACTCTTCTCTGGCATATATGAGCATGAGGTCATCAAGATCCTTGTAAAAGTCTTGACTCAGCCTCAGAACATCTATATGAGTATTAGTACATTGAGAACTGGCAGTTTCACTATCAGCAGCTGTCACTGACACTGGGAAATTCCAAGCTGTAGAGCCAAGAGAAACATAGGCATCAAGTGTACGGCGGGGTTGGAAGTTGTGTTTCTCAATCACACTAAGTAGGGAGTGGCGGGGAGCCATGCCTTCACTCCCAGAAGAATTCATGACTGCCACTTTCAGTCCTCCTGCTGTGTGAAAGGTCTCCCAGCCAGTTGGGTCATTTTGAAAGAACTCCTCTGCTGAAACCTGTCACTCATTGCTTATGTTATTAGACTGTAGCCTTTTGGATTGTACTGCAACTACATTAAGCTGTGATTGTTGGCATTTAAGCCATCAAGACAGTCCATTTGCTGAAGTGCTTAAAGTTTATAAAATCTATGACTTGATTTCCACTTCTATTGGCCTGTACTGTCACCGCTTAGTTGGGAAATGCCATCCCCCACCCCACCAGAACCTGTGCCAATAGTATTCGCTAATAGGGGAATCATATTCTTTGGGGTATGGGTGAAGAAGAAAGGATAAAGACATGTGAAAAATATAAAATCATACTATTTCACTGAAATGGTTAAATAATATTTTTACTTCAGTATTTTAAAAAAATAAATGCCACAAAGATATGAGGATTACATTCATTCAATCATTTATACACATATATGAGGACTTACTATGTGCCAGGTACTGTTCCAGTCACTGGAATATAGTAGATAAAACAAAGCCCTTATTTCCAGAAGCTGACATTCTAGCAGAGGAGGGGACAATAACTCAACAATAATGTGTGTGTGTGTGTGTGTGTGTGTGTGGTGGTAATTGAGTACTGGGAAGAAAAGTAGAAGAAAGAGGAGAGGGTTGTTAATTGGGGCAGAACTACTATTTTGGCTCAAGTGGCTAAATGTCACTTCAGGAGTGACATTTTAGTATATAATATGTGTGAAATAAAGGAGTAGCTTTCTAAGCTGATGGAATAACAGCCCATGCGGAAGTCTGATGTGGACACATGCTTGCCATGTCTAGGAAACCTGGGAAGAAGCCAGTGTTTGTTGAAGTGGAGTGAATGAAAAGGAAAGTAGACAAGATGGGGTTGGCTCCAGAGAGAAGTGTTTTTTAGGCTACATAACAGGCCATGGGATTGGGATTTTACTCTGAAATAGTTAAAAATGTATTAAAAAGTTTTGAGCAGCAGAATGACAAGATCTTAACTATATCTTTTTAAACATCGCTCTGGCTGCTGTGTGGATAATGGACTGGGATGGGCACAGGAGTAGAGAGCAAGAGTGGAAGCAGGAACGCCAGTTAGAAAGCTGTTGTAATACTCGAGCAGAAAAAAAAAATTTGGTTGGTACAGTGCCACCTCGATATTCACACCGTCACTGTTCCAAGTCAGCATAATAAAACCTTCACCAAGGATATAGCCTAATAGATTCTCATATTTGGGCATAAGTTAAGTTTCTGGCACATCATAGCCATGCCTTTTTGTTGCTATAGCTAAGTATAATTCTTTATATCTAGAAAAGTGACCAAATGGGAAACATTTTTTTTTTTTTAACTAACATTGATCTGGCCAAGGAATATAGAATGAATTAGAGAAGGAAGATCTTGGAGGCAGGAAAGCCATTTAGAAGGTAGTTGAATAAATAAAGACATGAAATTCCAAGAGCAATGGAGTGTTATGAAAATAGCTGCTTAATCGTGGGCAAGGCTTCTCTTGTGTCTGTTTCATAACTGATAACATGGAAATAATAGTGATATCTGCTCATAGGGTTATTGAAGGACTTAACTGAGAAAATGTCTTCGAATGCTGCTTCCCTTGTATGGTAGGTAGAATTCCAAGATAGTCTCCAAGATTCTCATCCCCAATATATACACACTTTCTCCCATCTATTCAATCAAACGCTGATCTAGCTATTGCTGTAAAGGGGTTTTGCATGTGTAATTAAGGTCCCAAATTAGTTGACCTTGCAACAGGGAGATTATCTTGGTGAGCCAGACTTAATCACATGAGTCCTTTAAGAGAATAGACTATTTTAGCTAGTTACAAAAGTCAGAGATTTGAAGTGAAACTAAATTCTGACACCCTGAATGAGCTTGGAAGCAAATTCCCCCCACCCCACCCCACCTCCACTCCCAGAGCCTCCACAAGGGAACTCAGCCCGGCCAATGTCTTCATTTCAGCCTTCTGATACCTGATATACTGAGCAGAG